AGTCTTATTGATGAGCCTCTGATCCAGTAGGATTAGCAGCCTTACAAAGACAGTTGCCAGGTTGCTAGTCCTGTCACTCCTTCCCTGTGTCTCTTCACAGGAAAAGGTTTGAAAGGACAAAATGACAACCAACAAGAGCTCAGAACAGAGCTCTTACCAGCAAGTGAACCCTTCCATAAACTTAATCTTGAACGTTCTTTTCTCTAGAACAATAGGAAAACAAATTTCTATTGTTCAGAGCACTCACTATATAGTATTTTACTATTAAAGCCTGAACTAAGTTGTTTAAACATATTAGATCCATTTTAGCTTTTATGGTTTAACAATGAAATGCAGTTTTTTTTTTCAGTTGAAATAGGAAGTGAAAGCTTTTAAACTAATGACAGATGATATCACCATTTTTATTTTTCTTTAATCTTTCCCAGAGAATTTGGTATTGAGCTTAGTTGAATGTTATGAGTATTATAGTGGGATTTTTTTTAGCAGAATTGCTAATAAATTCTAGTATAAGTTACAAACTGTTCTTTGATTATAGATGAGGGCTTCTCTCTTTTCCTAAATGTACCTTCAGTATAAGTAACCATGTCAGGAACCCCTGAAACAGCAAATTATTATCATGATGGTAGAAGTTAATATATTGTTAATAGTAACACTAATGTATTTCATTGTAATTCTGAGGAAGAGCAAATTGCCACAGAGTAGAAGCTTGCAAGAGTGTAAGTTGATCTTTTTTAAAATTCTTTTTTTTTTCATGTTACTGCAGGAGAAAGTATCTAAAGTAAATATTAAGTAAATACACCTTTTCCATCTATTTTAGTTGTTCTTCACTCACACAAACATATTTATAATCTGTTTTTACTTATATCAATGAAATAGTCTCTTAAAAGGGGGCATAGAAAGTGGCAGACAATGTGGACAAGGGTGGAGTGTACTCTGCAGTTCTGCATTGCTGTTTATTGTTTTGCTGATTCCATTTATGTACATTTCCCTAAGAGCCACTGTTGACCTGACATTATTGGCTGCTATTTGGCAGAGAAGGTTCACCTTGATCAGATAGTTACTTGCTGTTTCTGTCTACAGATTTGGTAAAATGGAGAATTTGCTTTTCTTCAAAGGTTGCTTTGAACATAGTGGTACAGAATGTTCAGAAGGTAGGAAAATTCCTTAAAAAGTTATATCTGGTTACTCAGCAGACGTTTCCATTAATAGTTCATCTTATTTTGAGCACTTTTCTAGTTTGTAGTATTTTTTTTCAATGTATGTAGGTGGCCTCAAACCATATGGCAAAAGCATTTTCCAAAATCATTCAATCTTTGTCTTACTATGAACTATTTTAGTTATTTTCTTGTCACTGAGAAAAACTCCTCTCAACAGGCTTAACATTCTTTTTCTGCTTTGATCTGTGATTATGCTGATGTGTTAGATCCTCTTGACAACATGCACATGTTTAAATACCACATTAGATTGAAATTGCCTATGTCTTTGTGTGTTGGGTGAACAAAAAATTTGTGTTACTTTTTAAAGCTGATACATATTGAATTCCCCTGTAGTCATTGCTCTGCATGAAGTAATTGTCACCCACAAAATGCAATCTGTTGTATTCAGCAATGTTTATTCTGTTTCATTCTATTTTAAAATGCAGAACTTCTTGGATTCTTTTCCTTATTAAATGTTGCTTTTGAGTATTTTGATAGTTTTTGGTTCTGCGTATGCATTCTTTATAAAACACTTGGTGAGCATTGAAAATGAGAACTCAAGAGTTCTGATTTTATGGGGAATGGTTGTGGTGTATGTCTAAAAGCCTGGTGGGTTTCCATCTTTAGACATCTGTCCTCATCAAGAGTTGTAGGATGGCACTCCCATCTTTGAAGTAGATACTACCTGCTATCTCAGCCTTCAGAATTGGTGTGTTACCTGGGACAAATGAAGAAAAGGGAAAGTATAGATGATCCTGCATCTTATTAACCTCCTCTTTGAGATTTGTTTGTTTATTCATTTATTTGAAAGGTAGAGTGATGTTGGAGTAGGGCAGATAGAGAAATATAGTCCATCTACTGATTCACTCCCCAAATGGCTGCAACAGTCAGGGCTGGGCATGACTGAAACCTGGACCAGGAGTTCCAACGCAGTCTTTCCCATGGGTGGCCCAAGTACATGGACTATCATCCACTGCCTTCTCAGGTGCATTAGCAGGAAGCTGGATCAAAAGTAGAGCAGATGGGACTCAAACCAGTACTCTTGATGTGTGATGTTATTGTCTTCCAATGGTAGCTTAACCCACTGTGCCACAATATTGGTCCCTGCTGTACCTCTATTGAAGGCTCTTGAGAATACATATTCAGCCGTGCCTAAGATTCAAAAAATATTGAATCTGGAAGAGACCGTAGTAATTACCAGGAGTATCACATTGCCTCCTGTGCCCTGGATATGCTGTGAACTTTTCTATCACCATGTCCTTGCTTATTTTGTAGTGCCATTGTTCACCATGCTGCCTTGCCAAAAGTAGCTTACCCTTTTGCACTCTAAGTCCTGAACATCGTTCCCTCTTCAACAATAGTATAGTATTCTAAGAAATTACAGGAATTTTCCTCTACCCTGCATTTGAATGTCCCCCACAATGTTTCATCATATACTGTGTAGTTTGTGTATTTTTCTATTTATACTTTACATTTTCCATGATTACTTTTACTGATACGGTTACATTATAGTAAATAAAATGTATGCATATATTCATATTTTGGTAGGGCAGATAAGAGAATTCAATATGAAGTACTTTTAAATGACTTTCAGTTCTGATGTTTTTGATAGGAAATGGATTCACTCACACTTTCAGGTTAACTCAAGTTACTGCTGCAGAATACGAGATAGTAATATTTCTGTGTTTTGAAGAAGTCACCATGGTATTTTAAAGACATGTTATTACACATATTACAGTGTGCTTCTCTGCATTCTGAGGCTGCCAAAGGAGTTTGCATACAAGGATATACTATGTATGGCCATTATTGTGAGAAAGAATTGATACGTTACTGTCCAGAGAAATGGTTGCTGATATTGACTCTAGAAAGTTAGAAAGTGAACAGTAATAGGTGGCCTTCATTTTTAAAGATAGTGTGTGAATTTTAGCATACTAGTGTCAGTAATGTAATGCAAGACTTGGTGAGAAAATAATTCTATCTAATTCTTGTCTCCCTGATCAATTTTTTAACAATTAGTGAAAGATTTCTAAGTGGAACATTGGATTACTGTCTCAAGTAGTAGGTTGTTTGGTACATATGATGTAGAAAGAAGAAAACCTGGCCTTTACCTTCTGATTTTACTACCTTTAGTATAGGTAATCAAGCACTTAAATTCTACTGATGACAAAAACTTGGCCTTATACTTAAGACGGTTTTTTTTTAAGTTATACTAGACCTTATACTATACTATACTATACTATACTATACTATACTATACTATACTATACTATACCTTGGAAAAAGGTAACTCTTAATATTGCTCTATGGCTTATGTAAGTTATTTATTTTGGAACCTCTTGGTCATTATGGCAACTAGTCAATACTTAGCATAATTTAAGTGTGTGAGGTGAATGATTTAAGTGCTTGAATGGGATATCATTACACTTAATTGCCAGTGACTGCCTAGAGTATTTCAAAATGTGTTATCCAATTCACCAATGCATTGTAAAAAAAAAAAAGTAATATGTCCCCCTAAAATTTAAGTTTGGAGAAAGCAAAAATACACTTGTATTGCTGTGAATATTCATACAGATCATTTCTAATATTTGGTTATTTGTCTCTTTGCGAAAGTCCTAAGATGTGCAAATCAATTTATTTCATAAAAACTGAGGTATAAATTACTTCCAATTAGAGCATAGTTGCTTCTACACTTAGACATTGAGCTTGTCCTTGGTTTGATGCTGAGTCCAAACATCTACAGTAATAAGCTTCTTTTAAAACATATTATTCTTGTGGGAAATTGGGTGGGCCTTCTTCCTTAATACTCCCCTTTAAACATGAAGGAAACAATATGGAAATAATAATCTTACCCACTTTCCTATAAGCCCTTGAACCTTTTTACCCTAATTGACTATGTAAAGATTGTCAAAATATAATTTAAAAAGCATATTATTCTTGATGCATGTTGTTATAATTTATGCTTTGTTCTTTGCTGCTCAAGAGCTTATAGACAATACATTTTCTGGTTTCAGGGTATTATTGTTTTGTTAATGTTTCCTGTTTCCTGTTGTCCTTTACCTTCCCAAACCCTGCGTAATTTTCTAGGCCAAGTGGGAGATTATTGAGCTTGATGTAGTTACCTTCTATCCCAATAGGTTATTTATGACATTTTGGATATAGTTTATAGTGTTTATTCTCTCCTTTATTTATCCAGTATTTATTTACTTTCAAATATTTATTTTTTGTGTTGATTTTCTTTTGCCTTCTGTTGACTGTGAACTTGCTTGCCTCCTATACTGAGTCCTAGAGAGCAGTGACCGAGTTTTAAGTATCCTTATATCCCTCAAAGCACATTTCACATATTTCCATGGTATTTTCAGGAAGTATTGAAATTATTTGCTTTTTGTCTGGTTTTAAAATTCAAGTTATGCGTCAGTCATTAACTTGAGGTTTAGGTGAGGATTCTAGAATGGTTAAAACTTGATAGTAAAGATTGCCCAGGTTGAAATGCTTACTTCTTTACATGTATAATGTGGAACTTTCTCAGCAATAAAAAGGCATGTTAGTCTCAACCTTCCAGAGTTGATGCAGATTAACACAAATAATTTATTTAAAACATTTATTGTGGTGCCTAACAGCACACACTCAGTGCCGTGTAGTATACTCTTTGCTCAGTGGTGTCGCATTGGGCTACACTGAGCCACTGTGGGACCTGTCCTTTGGTCTTTATATCTCAGACACCTAACCCGGCGTATGGTAAATTCTCAGTAAATACTTGCTTGAATTGCATTGACTGATTTACCCTATTTTTATCTCCCATTACAGCCCACTGTTTGTAACATGGAAGATTGGTCGAGACAAAAGATTGCGTGGATGCATAGGTACTTTTTCTGCCATGAATTTGCATTCAGGACTCAGGGAGTACACACTTACCAGGTGAAGACCAATTTTTGTTACCTCTGCTTCTACATTCAAAAATCTGTGAAACTTGAATTTGCTACTTTAATTCCTTACTTAACTACCTTGTTACTCTTTTCATACCAGCTTTTTCTTTCTCATTGACCATTTACCTTATCTCTGATATAATGTTATTTGTATATACTGTCATAATGTAAAATGCTATGAGCAGATTGATGTATCCTTCCATAACTGTTCTGAAGTGTTTTGTTTTTCTTCTTCCAGTGGATATAATTTTATTTAATTTGAAAATCAGTGACCAAATGCTCAAATTATATGATTTCTATAACAATAGTCATCATTTCTTTGCTGTTAGACCTTTTAAAAATACTTGATGTCTTTTTCAAGCTAAATGTTCTGCTTTTATGTACTTTTGAAATTGGAGGGAGAGCCTAGAAAGAAAGTGATGCCACAGTCTGACAGCATAATCATTCACATTCACATTTCACAACCAGGATTGATTGTAGCTTGCTCATTTTGTTTCATCTAACACAAGGACAAAGTAATGAATGCCTCATTACAGTTGTTAAGAATTTGTTCTTGATTTCTAAACTCACAAAAAGTTTTCCACCATACCATCTGATTTTTCTTGTTCAGGTTTAGAATTCTAGCAAATTGTGTTCCAAAATTATTTCAAAAGAAGAAAATTCCTTAAATAATAAGCTTTTAGCAAAAGAATTTCCTGTTTTTGTTCATCTTTTAGGATGATTATCTGATACAGTTTCTATAATTGTAAGATACACAGTCTGTCCAAAGGAAATTGGTCCCTCCTAACTATTGCTGCTTGGGACAAGTTGCTTAACCTTCAACCGTAAAATAGTTAATAATCACTACTCTGCTTCGGAGTTAATGTCGTGGAACATTCATTGTTTCACTGTGCAATTGCATAAGTGAAGACTCAGAGCACCAACTGATGAAAATCGCTGTCACTGAGATTAGTGTTCTCATATTTGAAGATATGCAGTAGCTCGTCATGCAACATTTTCTCAGCTTCCAATGATGCCCAGAAAAAAAAGGCAGAGAATAGAAATCACATCTGTGTTTTGCTTTTCTCAGCTATTAGAAACTGGATGTTTGGACTTCATTAAACACAGATAGGCTTGTCCGGGGTCTTAGGAGGTACTCAGAAAATAAAATCTTTCTAAAGATACTATAAATGGTAATCTAGAGTTAGATTCTTTAACATGAAATACAATGGCTGTTTTGAGAACTTTTGTGAATAACTAGCCACATACTAACTAAAGCAAATGGTTTTCATTTAAAAAAATCAGTAACATAAATTCTTTGATGTTGCTTGAGGAAAACAATTCTATAGCTAGATGAGTTTGGGAAACACTGATTAAAACTGTAAACAGCTCTGTGTATCATAGGACTTCTCAGAACCTTTTCCATTGATGGCATTATCAATCTCTGAGAAAGAAAGAAAGGCAGCATTTTCCAGAGTTCAACTCCCTTAACTAAAGCCTTTCCTCGTGTCATATGCCCATGGTGTTCTCAGGAACACCTTTTGAATAGAACAGTATTTCATTTAAGTTTTATTTTGTGATTGTATAGTAATAATATAGAAACTCTCTGTGCTTTCTAGTGAAATTGTGGCAGAAAACCCATTATCAAATGGGAATTCTTCAGTAATGGCAATTATCATAGTAACTTGGCTTTGTTTAAATATATTAAATTCTTTTGCCTACACACTGACAACAAGGGACAAAAATAGCTACATTTTCTGGACTTGTGAATTCATCTCATAGCATATTATCTGAAGAATTACAATATATTTTTGTGATAGTAATGTGATACTGAATGATTTGTTCCAATAGTAGAACTTGGAAATTTGCCTGCAATTCTTTTACTTTCTAACCCTCATGTTAGTGTGTGGCTCTTCCTGTTTACTTTTCAACTTCTTTCTAATGTTTCTGTACCACTTCCTGAAATTGTATATAGCACATTGGAGAGGGTGTGTTTTATGTTTATAGGTATAACACACATGCACATTCGTAGTTTTCTCTCAACTTTGACTTATTTTGTTTAACATGATAGTAAGAGACAAGTTATTGGGAAGAGATTAAGACAAAGAAAACAAGTTTTAAAAAGTACAATTCTTTTTTACATTAAAATCAATGAAAGGAGTCCTTTTTAATAGATGCAGTATTGTTATTCAGTTGAATACTGTGTTTAGGTGTGCTTAACATTGCCACATGTTATGTTGTTGCTATTAATTTATGTAAAATTCACTGAATATAAGACATTACTGAGGAGCTTACTATGCATACTCCTCACTATGATTCTTACTATAAATAGCCACATTTTACAAATAATAAACTGAGGTTATAGAGTTTAAATTACCCCCTCACATACTTAGGAAGTGTTAGGACCAGGATTCAAACCCAGTCTAAATGACTGTGAAGTCTACACGCTTAAATACAATATTTAAGATAAGAAAAAAATTACTTCTTGGTAATTTATTTTCTGTCTTTGCCATGAAATCAAAGGACCTTGAAAACAAATTATTGCAAATTTTATAAATCATAGGTCAATAATCATTAAGCATTGATGGTTAGAAATTATGATATTTTTGAAACATTATTTAAGATTCTAAAAAATCTATAGATAGGATTATAGAAAATATGTATAGAAAAAATATAATCCAGGGTTGTATAGGATAAAATTCCTATGGATTAATTTTATGTAAGAAGATAATGGTTATTACCAAAATAGACCAGCATATAATATGAAGTACTATTCCTTGGCTGCATAGGCCAGATTTCTAAAATTTCAATTGGAACAATCCATGAATTTGGTGTCTGGTCTGAAGTAAAAAAAAAAAACAAAATCACTTAGGGGTTAAGATCTTAAGGATGGAGAAAGTAGAACAAACAGTGAAATCAAAGGCTGCTGACATAGATTCACTTTCTTTTTCTTTTCTTTTTTTTTTTAATTTTTATTGGAAAGCCGGATTTTACATAAAGAGAAGGAGAGACAGCGAGAAAGGGCTTCCATCCACTGGTTCACTCCCCCAATGACTGCAGTGGCTGAAGCTGAGCTGATCCAAAGCCAGGAGCCAGGAGCTTTCCCCGGGTATTCCACATGGGTGCAGGGTCCCAAGACTTTGGGCCATCTTCTACTGCTTTCCCAGGCCACAGGCAGGGAGCTGGAGGGGAAGTGGAACAGTCGGGATATGAACCATTGCCCATATGGGATCCAGGCACTTACAAGGTGAGGATTCAGCCATTAGGATAGCCAGGCCCTCCCTGAACTTTTTGATTTTCCACTAGTAAAACTCCATATTCATTAATCACTAACTCCCATGTTCCAATACCTGACAAACACAAATCTATTTCATGTATCAGTGAATTTACTATTCCAGATTCCTCACGTCAGTGGAATCATACAATATATATCATTATTTGGCTTGTTGAATTTTACATGTCTTCAGATTCATCCATGTTGTAGTATGTGTCAGAGTATACTTTTTCAGAACAAATATGATTCTATTTTATGTTTGTAATACATTTTGCTTATCCATTCATCTGCTCACGGAATCTTGGTTGGTTTGTACCTGTTGGCTGTTGTGAAAAATGCTACAATGTACATGGTTATGTAAATATCTGTGTGTGAACTCTTTTCTCAATAACTGTGGAAGTGGGCATTTAGCCTACTGTGTGGATGCCCCAACCACATATCAGAGTGTTTGCAATTGGTGTCTAGCTTTGGCTCTTTACTTTGGCTTATAGCCAGCACAGACTCCAGAAGGCAGTGATGATGTCTCTAATGATTGGCTCAGGTTCCCACCACCCATATCGGACAAAATGGCTGAATTCCCAGATCCTACCTTTGGCCTCGTTCATCCCTGGTTGATTGATGCAAGCATTTGGGGAGTGAACCAGCACAAGATAGCTCTCAATTTGTCATACACACTCTCTCTTCCTTCCCTCTTCCCCCTCTCGCTTTCTTTCCCTTCCCACCACCTCTTTCAAATAAATAAATAAATATATTTTAAATAATTGGAGCCGGAGTTTGGCACAGCACTTAAGATACCATTTGAGATTCCCACATCCCATATTGGAGTGCTAGTGTTCAAGTTTCAGCGCTGCTAATTGTGGCTTCTTGGTAATGCATATTCCAGGAAGCAATTGGTGATGGCTCAACTACTAGGATCCCTGCTACCAGTGTGAGAAATCCAGATTGAATTCTGTTTCCCCCTTTGTCCTGGCCCAGCAATAACTGTTGCAAGCATTTTTAATTAGTTTATTTTATGGAGCGAGAACACTCTCATATACATACGTGTGTAAGAGAGAGATAACTTCCATCTGGTGATCTTTCTCTCCAGATGGCCACAACAGCTGGGGCAAGGCCAAAGCCAGGAGCGAGGAAAACCATCTGGTTCTACCACATGGGTAGAAGGGGCCCAAATATTTGGGCCATCTTCCTGTGCTTGGCTGTGCATAGTGACAGCACAAGTGAATCAAAAGTGGAGCATCCAGAAGTTGAAGCAGTGTTCCTAAGGGATGCTGGCATTACAAGTGGCAGTTAATTATGGTGTGCCACAACTCCAGACCCTATTGTAGGCATCTGGAGAGTGAATCAGCAAGTGAAAGATTTCTTTCAACCTGTTTCTTTCTCTCTGCCTTTCAAATAAATAAAAATAAATACATTAAAAAAATTTTTTTTAAAGATGGGCAAAGCATTTTTTTCTGGTAATAAAAATTCATAATTTATGTTTAGATAGTATGAAAACTGAGAATTGGGACATGGAATTATTAATTACTGTTTTCCTTATTTTATTTATTTTTTTAAAGATTTATTTAATTTTTATTGGAAAGGCAGATATACATAGAGGAGGAGAGACAGAGAGGAAGAGCCTCCGTCTGATGGTTCACTCCCCAAGTGACCGCAATGGCTAGACCTAAGCCAATCCGAAGCCAGGAGCCAGGAGTTTCTTCCAGGTCTCCTACACAGGTGCAGGGTCCCAAAGCTTTGGG